CTTAGTAGGTCCAATCAACATAATGCCATCAATATAATGGACCAGTGTGACATTTTGTGGAATAGATAGGCGATCAAGTTCCCTTCGGACTAAATTATGGCTTCTGGTGGTCCTTTGAGACTGGTATTGAAAAGAGGGCATTAGCCAGATCAATAGCTGCATACCAAGTACCAGGAGAAGTATTAATTTGCACAAGCAATGAAATCACATCTGGAATGGCAGCTATATTTGGAGTCACCACCTGGTTAAGTTTACAATAATCGCCTGTCATTCTCCAGGATCCATCTGTCATCTTTAAAAGCCAAATAGGTTAGTTAAACTCATGCATGTCCAATCAACAGAGAGCAAGAGAGAAAGGCGGGGCAAGCTATTTATTTCTTTGCCCTCTAATCAAACTGTGACCTTATTAATCCCACATGTTTCTATTGTCCAGGTGGGTGCACTAAATCTACCTATCACAAATTCCTATTCTCTATTGGTCAACACCTGTCCATATATTTGTTCTCCTCCGCTATGTTGAATTGTGACTTCTTTTCTTGGTCAATCGACATATTTATTTATTTTACAGAAGCTCTTCCACAGATTGTTAAGTTCCTCACATTTCTTGAGGTTTCTTAGTCATTCGTGCATGTGTGAGGCTGAATTCCGTCGAGGTAACCTTGTGGATTTTGCATCAGAGAAGTGTTGGAGCAGAAAGTGAGTGATATGCTTACACTTAGGTGACAAACTACCAGGTCATCTGCAAAAAAGTGGTTGCCACAGCCCTCGCTGTGATAAAAGATAAGCCACAAAGATGTAAGAAAACAAATTGGATGTTTCCACTAGAAAGGCTGCAGGCAACTTGCTTATTCATCTAGCTGATTATATAATTTCAACTTCATAGCATGGTATATCATATTGTATTAATTTGCCCCAGGATGAAGTCAAATCTAAAGACTCAGTATTGGACTGACATTAGGACCTAAGAGTTTAATCTGTAGAAGTCAACAATTTATGTATTGTGGTTCCTAACTGGCCTATACTCATATAATTTCCTTTTAAAACAATGTTTGACCATTGGCTAAACTAATGACACTATCAACATGTAGTGGTGTGTATTGGACTACTAGCCACAAGGTCAGAGGTTCCAAGTGACCAGCCAGCTCCTCAGACTAAGGATGAAGCATTCTGCTCCTGTAAAGATGGACAGTCTCATACCTAGCAGAGGGATTCTGGGGAGGAGATGAGTCACTCAGGGTTTAGTGTAGCAATAATGAAACCCACAACCTTCCTCTAGTTCTTAAACGCTTCCTCCCCCCAACTACCATGATCCCAATTCTACTTTGCAACCCTGGTTAGACCAGAGGATGCACAGCGGTACAGAAGGTAACTGGAAACACAGGGGATCTAGGACAGATGAACCCCTCAGGACCAGCGGTGAGAGTGGCGGGGGAGGGAAGGGGGGATGGAAAGGGGGAATCGATCATAAGGCTCTACATGTGACCTCCTCTCTGGGGGATGGGCAACAGAGGGGTAGGTGAAGGGAGACACCGGGCAGTGTAAGATAGGATATAATAATAATTTATAAATTATTAAGGGTTCATGAGGGAGGGGTGATGGGGAGGGAGAGAGAGGGGAAAAAAAGAAAATGAGCTAATTCCAGGAACCCAAGCAGAAAGCAAATTTTGAGAATGATGAGGGCAACAAATGTATAAGTGTGCTTTATACAATTGATGTATGTATGGATTGTGAGGTATTGTATGAGCCCCAATAACATGATTTGAAAAAAAAAGAAAGATGGACAATCTCACAAAGTCACAGGGACAGCTCTGCCCTGTCTGTTGGCTTGCTCTGAGTGAGCCCTCAGGGGGGTGATTGGCAATGTTCTCTAACATAAGCTGACAATAATGTTTCTAAGGTGAACTGGAGATATATATATACCATAGACATAGGAATAGATTTGGGGCTTACATTTAATTCTAGCCCTGATCTAAACACAATTCGTTTTTACGGGTTCTATAGCAAAGTTTGGTGAAGAAACTAGATGGTGTCCGATTATCAGAAGGAATAGCATATGGGGTCTTAAGGGCTTGTCTTCAAACAAGCAGCCATCTAAATTACGTCAACATGGAAGAAGCACACCCACCTGTGTGAACCAAGCATTGTAAATAATAAAATCCAAATCTGAAGGAGGGAGTGGTACCAAAGCTTAAATTGTGAACATCTGGTTACAGAAGACTATAGATCACAGTGGAAACCCCAAAGCCATTTGCAGTGTCCATACATGGATTAAGCCTCCTGTGAATCCCCTCTGACCATAGTTAAGGAATGTGGGCAGCCTTGTTATCAGACAGCATGCAGTTAGGTTAAATTTTAATACTGTATCATTTTATATCCCTTCTGATCCATTTTAAATTTGCTCTCGTTTTTAATATTTTCTGCTTTCTTTTCTATTGAGATCTTTCTGTGTTTTACTTTGTTATTGTTGTTAGGGTTTTGTTTTGCCTTTAATGTTTTCCTGTAGATGAAATCCAGGAGGGGTAAATCTGTAGAGCCAGTAACTGGATGAATGCTTCCTTGGGAGCATGACAGAGGAGGCCGAGGGGACATGGAGAATTAATAACAATGAGTGCAAGAACAAAAAAATGTTCTAAAACTGATTGTGGTGGTGATTATACAACTCTTCTTGATATGATCGAACTATTAAATTGTATTATATATGAATTTTATGCCAATAAAACTGTTAATACAATTTTAGAAGATACCTGAAATTTTAAAAAGAAAAGCTAAAGACAAAAAGTTCATAAATTCAACCACATTGAAGTTAAGAACTTTATCATCCTAAACTATATAAAGACTAGTTAAAATCTTAATGATATTTGTAACCCATTGAGAGCTTAACAAAATGCTGAAAACAATTTGATTTAAAATATATGCAAAAGAATTTAACAGGAATTTCATTAAAGGGGAAGCATAAATAGGCTTAGATTTATGAAAAAAATGTGCAACCTCATAAATATTGAGAGAAAGGTGAATTAAAACCTCATGCTATAACTTCACCCTTGATTGGTAAACATTAGAACGTTTCATCTTTCTAATGCCATCTGGCTGACTTCAAGCCATTGTGACCCCACTGATTCAGAGTGGAAGTGCACACCAAGACATTTTCATAGCGATGAGCTTCTGAGACTGGTTCGGATGCTCCTCATTCCACCTGCCAACCTTTCTGTAAGGAGCTGAGTTAGGAACCGAGCTCATCATTTGAACCACCCAGGGACTCCAAGGGACACTAACCCACTGCTGATGGAAGAGTGTACCTGTAGAACTACACAAAAAAAGGTACTTTCGCATGATTCCGTCACACTGATACTGTGCAGACTGGGTTGTTAATGTTATGTGCCTTAGACTCAATTCCTCCTTATATTGACCCCGCGTACAACTAAACCAAACCGTGTCCAGTCTGCGCCAGCCTCACCACCATTGATGCGGTTACTGTGTCACTCTCATTAAACCTCTACTTTACCAAGCATGATGTCTCTCCAGGAACTGGTCCCTCTGATAACATGCCCACAGCACATGAGACAACGCCTTGTCATTCTTACTTCCAAGAAGTATTCTGGCTGTCCTTCTCCCAAGACGGGTGTGTTTGTGCTCCTGGCAGTTCCTGGTCCATTTAATATTCTTTTCCAACACCAGCTTACTCATTGTCTGTCTTTTTCACATGCATGAGGCGATTGAAAAATTCTATGATGTGAGTCAAGCACACCTTAGTCTTCCAAGTGACATTTTTGCTCTTTTTAGACAAGATGTTTTGCAGCACATCTGCCCAATGCTCGACTTCGGCTACAATGGGCATTAGTTGTGAAACCAGGTGAGAGGAAACCTCAACATCTGCGATATTTTCTGTTTACCATGATGTTGCTTACTGGCCCGCTTGTGAGGACTTCTGCTTTTGTACGTTGAAGTGCAATCCACACTGAAGGCGATGTCTTTGATTTTGATCAGTAAGTGTTTCAGTCCTAAGCCACACAGTGTCCCTGTGGTTTTTTTCTCTTGGTGACCGCCTCGGGGTCTGTGTCCAAGTTCTCATTCTTTCAACGGGATACATAATTTGTTACGGCCCACCTCACCAATCAAGCAAAGGCAAGTATCTCTGCGGTATTCCCTGCTGACAGCAATGAGATCCCTCATTCCACATCTTTTTTAAAATTTCGCTTCATTTTCTGGCAGTTCCTTGTTGATGTGCTGCTGCAACCTGTTTTTAAATTTTATTCAGCCAACGTTTACATCTGTATGTGATCTTAGTGATGTAAAGTTCACTGCCATAGGGTCCTCTCCACCAGGCGGCCGTCCAGAGCAGACTAGAACTGCTCCCTAGAGTTTCTGAAGCTGTCAATACATTTACATTTCTAGGAGCAGAAAGCAATATGTTTGTCCCTTGGAGCTGCTGGTGGATTCAGTGCAGTTTGAACTTCTTCAAGAAGTTGAAGGACGGAACTTTTAAAGGAAAAATTTGAGAGTAAAATGCCCCCACTTTCATCATCTTTTACCTCTAGGTTGAAGCCCCTGACTCTATCGCAATAGCAAAGACATTCTCCAACATCGCCACGGTACAACCCTCAAAACCAGGAAGCTTCCCAATTTTCAAAATGAGCTTTTACTATCTTCATAACGCAAATAGGGTTTTAATTTTCAAGCGCTCATGAAATACACTGTGGCCGCCGAAAGCCAGAAGCTGCAGGGGCGTTTGGATTGTGCGGGGAAGCTCGTCGGGTTCCGATGCGCTCCCAGCCCCTCCTTCCGCATTGCTGTCTCGGGAGGTTTTGTTGGTCGTTTGTTTTGCCCGATGTCTTAGCTCCTGTGACTTATCAAGCCGTTTTGAGATGTGTTGGTTCTTTGCTGTGATGTAAATGTTTCACAGTGGGCACGTTCGAGCAAAACGGAAACGCCCCTGCAAGTTCGAGTTCACTTCCTTCTTGGGCTCAAACAGGACACACCCTCAGGGCAGAGTCGGCGCTCAGGGCCAAAGCCTCACGCCCGCCCGGGGCTCGGTCATTTTTAAAAGGATCTTCACGGCTCATCAGAAGAGGACTAAGAACGAAAACGTTTAGCTGGCCGGCTTTGGGTGCCTGATAGAAAAAGAATTAAGTTTTCGGGAGAAACAATCCTGGTGAGTTACTAAATTACGAACTTTTCCTTGATTTGCCATGCCTAGCAGAAAACTTGTTTCTAAAAACTCCATCTGTACTTTCAATGTAAACATAGATGTAACTGATGCAGGCTTCCTAAATGGTCTTCTCAGAAGAAATGCACCGGCAAAGAAACAGGGGTGGGGAGGACGTGTCCGAAGGCGAGAAGGAGGTGAGAGAAACTATGCCGAGAACTTTGGTATTTGAACATGAACGATCCTGAAGGAAGGACGTGCGCTCCGGTGTCAGTATGCAAAGTTCTGTCTCCACTGCTCACGACAGTGTTCTGAAGTAGTGGGACACAGCTTAACACAGTATTCGGGAGAAAGACTGGGCTTTCGACTCCGGTGACCAGTCACAGGCCCCCTGGAAGCCCCCAGGGAGCCGCTGTAAGTCAGCACGGACTCCAGGGCAGGGAGTTTGGGGTTTGGGTTCGGTAATCCAGTATTGAGAGTTTTACCTTGCATCAAAGAAATGAACTATTCTTCTGTTCAAAGACTTTTCTTTGCAGACATATTCATGCAGCAATTGGATTTAAAATAAATAAATAAGATTCATCAGGAAAAGGAAACTTACTTGCTGTGTAGTTTCAGTTTCAGACTTCCAGAAAGGGGTGTAGCCACATTAGGTTAGAGCCAGGAACTGAAATGACTAACCCCCAGCTATCAGCTGCAAGAGCCCTGCAGAGCAGAGCAACTCCCAGAAGAGCATTTGGGGTGCTGCTAGGGACTCCAGAGGTGGGGGCAGCCCTGCTGCTTCGGTACTTTTTGTTCAACACCCAAAGGGAACACCGGAGTAGACCTCTTCAGAATGGCTTTGTGCGATTCTGGTGTAACACTGTGGGAGAAAGGCCAGGCTTTCTACGCTCATAAGAGTTCCAGCCTCAGAAACCCACAGGGCCAGTCCTCCCTTGCCCTACACGGTCACTGCAAGTCGGACTCAAGTCCAGGGCGGTCAGTGAGTTTTTGAGAATTGGAACAAGATCTGTGGTTTCAAAATAGGCCGCGGAGGACCCCTGGGAAGCCAAAGAGTTATGTCAAGGCATTCCCAAAATGTATCCACACCAATCATGGTAATTAATAGCTTTACTTAGTTCCAACAAGATGATAGATAGATAGATAGATAGATAGATAGATAGATAGATAGATAGATAGATAGATAGATAGATAGATAGATAGACTGATAGACAGATAGATGGAATGTCAGTGACCCTAATTAAAAAAGAATACTTCTGGCATCAAAGAGCTGTTTGTGGTAGTGTAATAGGTTACCCTCTGGGTTGTTACCACAAGTTTTGCAGTTCAAACCCACTAGCTAGCCCAATTCAAGAGAAAGATGAGACATTTTACTCTTGTTAAGGTTTACAATCTCAGACACCTAGAGAAACCATTCTACTCTGTCCTGTAGGGTCTCTGTGAGTCAGAATCGATAATGACAGTGAGCTTGGTTTTGTTTTTGCTTTTTTGTATTGGCAACCTCTGAACACAGGAGGCGTGAGAACCTGTGGGTGGCACAAAGGCATGTTTCTTTGCATTGTTTCCTATTTTAGATAAAGACACACAGTGGGTCACTGCTTGCGTAGTGGTTTATGAAGGGGAGAAGAAGGATGGACTGCTGAGATGTCTGATGTGCTGCTTCATTTCGACACTGTTGGACCTGGTTGGAATTGCTGACGGAAAAAAACTGGAGTCTGTCCTCCCAATTGTTGGGCTGTCCAGAGACAGAGTGGGCAGGTTCAGGGCTGAGAAAGGACTCAGACTAAGAAAGTCGGGGGTTTAAATGGAGAGAAAATATTTTGAGAAACGATGTACAAATGCGCTTTACACAATTGATGTGTGTGTGGATTGGGATAACAGTTGTATGAGCCCCTAATTAAATGTTAAAAAAAAAAAAAAGCCTCTGAATGCTGTATGCCTGTGCAGTCGTGAGCTCTCGTCAGAAGTCAGCAGCTCAGAATGGAGCGAGCACCATGAAACGGGCCTGGGCGCTGGGGCTTGATTGTGTGGGCCAAAACAGAACCATCTCCTCTGGGAAAATCTTGTCGGACAAAATGAACTCGTTTGGGGGCTGAGTGACACAGCAGAAAGTTGGCATGGGGTGTGATGAAAATGCAGTACATAGAAGGACTGCAGATTTCTTCAGTTCCCTTTTCTTCCGGAAAAAGCGACTTCTTCAATCATCGTGCCTAGATGGTGGGAGCTAGAATTAGTTCTGATCTAAGAAGTAGCACAGGAAAATGATCTCAGATTTCTGTCTTGTAAAAGGAGCTAAATCTTTTGGCTCAAAGGCATTCAAACATTCATTAGTTTTAAGTGTTGTAAAGGTAGTAAACTTATTTTCATTTATTGTACACAACCGATTTTTGTTGTTTTTGTTTTAAGAAGCCGCCATGTGCCAGGCACTGTAAGATATGCAGCAAGACGTACAAAAGTCCTTGGCATCATGAAGCTGACATTCTAATGATAGGACCAAAACAAAAAGGGATGTTGGATTATGGTTAGTCCTAAGTTGATAAGAATAAGACTGAGAGGACAGAAACATTGGGACATGGCATGAGTTTTCCGTAGGCCAACCAAGTAGAGCTTCACTGCTATGATGACATTTGAAACAGCAGAGTCTGATTATAGGAGAGAATTAAAAGCACGTTATACTAATATCACAGGTGGCCAGGTCATGTCAGGTTCACAATAATGGACATAGCTTTCATTCTCAGATGGAAAGACACTGGAAGTTTTGAACAGAGTAATAGTAATCAAAAAAGTTTTGATCTTATTTGTACTTTCAATGGACACATTTCACGAAGATAACATGGGACAGGGTAAGAATATGCAGAAGGTTATACTCAGGGCAATTAATGATGTTTACATGTAAACAAGGTCACTCTGGCAGTTAATTTGAGAATTCCCTAAGAAGGACAATGATCTTAACAGGAAAATCGATAAGAAGGCTATTGATGTAATCCAGGAGAGAAAGAGGTGGGAGCCTGGACCATGGATAATGACAAAGTGGGTAACAGGTGGTCAGATGCTAAAGACCTTTTGAAAGTACAACCTATAGAATTTGCACACTATTGAACGTGAAATGTGGGAGGAGGGAAAGAGAAACTATGGCAGAACACATTTCTTAATGTTTAATTACTTTATTGAAGTACATATGTATGTATATAGTGTGAGATATTGCCTTATACTATTACCTACTCCTGGATTGTCAATGTGGTTAGGTCCAAAAACAAAATCATTGCGCAAAACTCAGCATATTTGGAAATGAAGGATGGCCACAGTAGATGACAAAATGGAAAACAAAGACATCATTATATAACTTCCAAATTATATGATAACATAACTGAGAATCGTACCCAGCCAAGTTGACATATAACCTTAACCATCATAGCTAACATTACTCTTGCCTCACATCTCCAAGTTCATTACTGCCAGTCTTATGGCATTGATAAGCAAAATAGATAGTGGATTTTCTTTACTATTGTCATGAATGTGAAATGTCAGATAACTAGATCATCAAAAAGTAAGGAGTAAATAAATGTCTTTCAAAATCCCTATATGTTTGGAAATTTTTGTAGCATTAAGTAAGGGGAGCAAACTGTCCAATGAACAGTTCCTGAGTAACAGTGCGGTCAATTCATCTACTGTGGCACCTTTCTTTGGTTGTAATAGAACCTCAGCAATTATCTCCTCAGTCAAAATTGAAAAGGAATCAGAACAGCTTTGCCTCCATCTCTGCTTCCTCATTGCCACTTTCAGTGACCCGATTCTCACATATTCTCAGGAAAAAGCAACTAAGCTAAGGATTTGGGATAAAAGAATCTCACGACAATCGATTTCAAGTTTCTCATGTAAAAAGTGGAGGTTTTCAAAACGTGTTGGTAAAGTTCCTAATCATTAAAGGCATTGATTTCATTCACTTTCTTTAAGAGTTGCATTTGCAAAGTAAAATGAAACTCGGACAACAAATATGCTTAAATGTATACAGCTACTTTTTATGAAATAATCCTAAAAGGAATATCAGAGCTATCTTATACATAGGTGTACCTCATTTGGACTCCAAGGTCATGCCTTGAAAAAGGAATCTTCCAGACACCACAGGGAAGAAGGCAGAGTGCTTCTGGAGATAGAAGACTCAGGAGACGAGTCTAGAAGAGACCTCAGGAAACTGGAGACCCGGGAGTTATGAGTGTGTATGAAAGTAGAGTTGTGTGCAATTAGCCAACATTCTGACTTAGGTGATATAATCAGTGTCAAGTTTATATTTAACTAAAGACAGAAATCTCACAAAGATTAATAATTATTTTAAGACTTCCCTTCACAACCTGTTTATACTGAGATTCTGGAAAACGAAACGAACCTGTTTCATTTCAGGACAATGAAACGAACCTGTTCGTGTGAGTTCTCCATTCAATGGAGCATCAGAAGAGGGCGTAGGCCGCCTGGACTGCAGCCAGTCTTCTGAGTGGCCTTCCCCAGGCATGGAGACCTGGCTGGAGGCCCAGGCTCTTGAGATTGGTGTGAGCCTCAGTGATCCTTCCTACTCAACAACCAAAGAGAGGAAATAGAAGTTCTTAGAGGATGGATTCTGGAATTACATATGAATAAGGGAACTTTGGTGTTTGAGATTTTTCTGGAACAGAATAAAAGGGGTAAAGTGGAGGTCTTCTCCCTAGTTCTAACCTGGGCAACTCCACGGCTGCCCATTTATACACAAAGAGGCCTCAGACCCATTTCTTTTGAAGAAGCAGAACAATCATGAAAAATCACAATGAAGACAGCGCTGGTTCTGGTTCATTCCCCTACATAAATTATGGAAAGGAGTCCCTGGATGGGCCAAATGGTTAATGCTCTTGGTTGCTAACCCAAAGGTTAGAGGTGCCAGTGTACCCAGAGGCACTGTATTAGTCTGGGTACTTTAGAGAAACAAATCCACAGAAACTCATGTGTAAGAGAGAGTTTTATGTAAAGGTTAAGTGCAC